CGCGCACATCACCTGCGGTGTAACTTTAGGCCTTGAAACAAAGAGGATGATTTTCATCTATGAGTGTCCACCCAGTGTCAAGCTTTGTAATGAAAAGATTCCTTGGATCAATTAAACGTACTTACGCATCCAGAAATCCTGTATATCCAAGAAAATTGTACGCTTGCTGAAGATCCACTGGCGCAGTTCTCTGACAGCCTTGGAAACTTATTTATTCCACTTCTGGAATGGGGGAATGTGGTGCAAGTGGCCTGCTTGCCACACACGGTCGGGGATCAGCTTCCGGATGCCAAGGTTAACCAAGTATTTTATGGCACGGGGGCAATAAATTGGTACCAGATTAATATGGGATGATAAAAACGTTCAGTTGTTCATCGGCTAGCCCCTCATTTTATATTGTTATAAGGATCACATCGCATAGTGAAGCGTTATCAATTTTGAAGAAAGATTGTGGGCCGGGTCGCCAGAAAAGAAGGTTTAATCGACATGGCGAAAGCTTATCCTTTGATCTTCTCGTATACGGACCGCTTCTTGTCCTTTCCTTCAAGTCGCAATTTTTGCAATATAGCGAAGTCGAGTAGTGGTTTGCTCGTGTCTGGGGTAACCGATCCCGACCACAAATGTTGCGTTCATCTCGCGGTTTGAAGGTAGGTAACAGAAGCACGTTGTAAGCCATTTAGATGTTTGTGAGGGCTACTGTCTGCGGTCTCTCCTTACTCTCCTGTTCTCTCATCTTTGTCACTCTAATTCCTACGCTTGCTGGTCAATGCTTCTTCCGCCCATTTAACTCGCTGACAATAGAGTACTGCGTTCCCTTCTCAAAAGCAACGCTACGAGAGGGCCGTATGTTTAGGACAGTTTCCGACGGCTTTTTTGCTTTTCTCGTCCATGATCTAAATTTATACTAGGCGCTACACAACTCCCATACCTGACCAGTGTGTGTGGCTTTGGAAATGTGCTCTGATCCACATTCACCTTTTCGCACACTCCAAGTCCCCATCATAGAGAAATTTCCGTTGATTCACGCTCAGGGCACATTGGGGAATCCCCAACAAGGGGGTCGTATTTGGTCGCCGGGAGAGGGAGGTGCACTTGCTCATTGTCGGGATGGAGGAGAGGATCGTATTGCTTTCTGAAGCTCCAGGAATAGGTGGGAGTTGGTGGCCTGACTTTGTGCTTTCCAACGCCCTGCCCCCCCCTGTTCGAACAGCAAAATTCTTTATGGGATAGAAATTGGAAAATTTTCGGGAAATTTTGGAAAAGTGGGGCAGAAAGGTTGGGAAAAAACCTTAGAACTGGTATAAGGGGGGGGGGGTATTTCCTCACGGCTTTTCCGTAGCAGCAGGTGCTTATTACCCTCTCCCCGCCCCGCTCGACAGGTTCGATGAGGAGGGACAGAGAGCCGGAGGAGGGAAGGAGGGGGGGGGTCGGGGGTCGTACCAACCCCTAAAAAAACTGAGGGATCGTATGGACTCGACCAAAAACCCCAACAGATGATGTGCCCTGGTCACGCTTCACTCTACCGCTGCACTGTCACAATATAAACACATCGGACAATCACATCACCATAAATTCATCCCAGTCGATCAATATACACTGTACGAATAGCATGGGGCTTTTTCCTCACGTGGGCAGGTTCAGAATAACAGTCTGAACTCGTGCTCGGAATTAGACACATCCATTTAATACCAGTCTGCACTAATAGTACTATTCTATACAGCACACCTATTGCTACCCTTTCACCAATCAAGCTATCGATTTTCGGATCCAATATTCCACTCCGTCCGCATCGTGGATAGGCTACTAGTTATGTGTCAGCTCCTATTAACCACACAATCCTTTATTCTATAGTTGGAATGAGTTTCTTGTTTTTCAGTGTCTTGCAAAAATTCATGCAAACACCGTGGAATCATAAGGGATAAGGTCCCCGCCATTATTCAATCCCTTGTTGGGATGAGGCACGCATTATACCTCCTCTCAGAACCGTAGTGACTCATTGAAGGCAAGTGTAGGCGCAGTTCGGCAACGGGGGGATGGGGGGGGGGGGGGGGCATTTTGCTTCCCATCGATGTGTCGACCCATCTAGATAGCCTTTCTTGAGTTGACACGTTTTACCATGGTGGCTAGACGAGCTTGCTCCAGCTTCACAAGAGTTCACAAGTTTCACCAGAGTGAGACTTGTAAACCGGAAGTAGTGAAGCAGTGAAAGTGCAAAATGCACCCCGTCGACAAACTGCGCCTACAATATACCCTATAACAATCCAATTTACACCCCTGGGGGTAGAGGGCTTGGTTGGCCTGAGCGGAAGACGATCCAGGATTTGATCACAGGACCGTTCACGGATGCACTTGTCTCTATTCTACCGTCTCCTCACAAACACACCATACAATACATAAGTTGCATTAGGCTGTAAATTATCAATAAGGCAGCGTTTTGTGGTCATTCTTCCGGCAACTTCTGGTAAATCACTGATCGCTACAAATGGTTTGCTTTGACGATTACAGTAATCACTTTCAACCTTTTCCAGAACCCCTTTCCTCCAAATTGGACAGGCCATTGATTGTTCCAGGCTTTGGGAGGGCCCTATCCTCTCTCCTGTTCACATAAACCGAAACTAAGCCCTTTATCCAATCATGGTGCGGCTTACCATCCAGCTAAATTAGGGCGCAAACCGGCCAAGGTGGAGGAGGGGCACGGGACGGAGCTTCTTATTGATTCTTGTCAACATAGCGAACTGTAGGGGAGCGGTGTGGAATGCGAGAATGGAAAGAGTGAGGATGTTTGGATGAGAGGATGATAATGATTGGTGAATGTTTGAAGGTTTGTTGGTGGTCTAATAAATCATTCCTCTCCCAGTGTTCGTCGCATCGCAACTCGAACAACTTTGTTAACTACCATGACCTCTAGCAAAGCTATGAACTGCTATCGCTAAGATTGGCTCTCCATTTTCCTTTTTTTATTGGGCGACATTCATCGTTGAAAGGTGCCAATACAGTCTTGTTCGCTGCGAATGCTGGGGCATGTCAGCGGGAGGGGTTTGGCTGTTCTCCACGAATCGTTAAATATGGCGAGCGACGACAGGTGGTGGGATACGGACTGGTGCCGCCAAACCCAGCCCCCTCAAGCGCACGAACACCCGTGGCGAAGAAGACTGTGAACGATTGCACGTTCGGAGTTGAAGACTTCCGTTCAAACCAAAGGAAGGATCTTCGGTGCTAGGTGAACTGCTTACGATGCTAACATAGTTGGGAGGGTGGCACTCGGCTTCCCTTTGCATCCGTAATCAAGATTTATCCCTAGTGAACACCGTTTCGTCTCTGCGGGACTAGTGCTCAAAGATTTTGGTTATCTGCGCTCTGAGCCTTGATTAGGGGAAAGGACATAGAGGTGTGGCCGAGCGCTCCCTTCCAACTACGCAACGCCCGCAACGCCCCTATATCCCTTCCCCAAAAAGGCTCGGGCCTATAGCGCAGGCGGCAGGAGTCGCAGAGGGATAGTCCCGCAGACAGAACACGTCGTGCGTCAGTGGTTCGTAGAGGGGATGTATTTTGGACAATGAAAGGGAGTCGCATTCGCCTTTGTGAGAAACGCTTGACTGTTGGCTTTTCTCGTTTTTACCGCGCCATACTTCCCCCCCCCCTTCCCCCACCCGCTCGACAGCGGTTTTTTCTTACTATTAGAGAAAAATCGGAGAACCTTTGGAAAATACTCCGGCAAAATGGCGAGAACTTGGCGATTCAGAAGATGGTAGGTAGGATGGAGAAGGGGGCTGTGTTTCGAAAATGTTTCGCCACCGGCAGGACGTGTCCGCAGAATAGACTTTGTTTCCACTAGGCTAAAGTCTTGATTAGGGGAAGGGATAAGGAGCCGCTAGCGAAAGGTCCCTGCCCAACTCCGTTAGCGCCTAGGTGGTTTGTTCGCTGCGGACGAAGGGGCGTGTTAAGAGGGATAGGTTTGGCGCGGAACCGGACCCGTTCTCCACCAGTTGTTGAAGAAGGTAATCGATCACAATTGAGGGAAAACGACTGATACGAATGATATGACACAGTATTTTCGCTTACCTGCTCCAACAACTCATGGAGAGTGAGTTTGGCGCCGCGCCAAACGTATTCCGCCTGTCATGGTGCCATTTTCGTTTTCATAGCTTTATAGAAGCCTAAGGGCCCTTAAAAAATTACCAGGCACACTCACGGAAGTTACTATGCCCCTCCACTTCCCTCCCCATGTGGATTACCACCCTTTTGTCCTTCTAAAACTGCGGTGCAATTTTCATGGGATTGATTTCGTTCTGTGAATGTGAGGCTATTTCCAAGTCTGCCTCATTTCTATAACCATTTTTGGCAATCAGTTCACCATTTCTTCGGTTCTGTTGCCGATTCGGTGCGAAATGCACCAATTCGCCACCAACATTCAATAAAATAGTTCATTTTTTGCAAAATCACCTGTTGCAATAAGATATTCGCAAACCTGCACAACGATTGCGGTCCCGAGCACCTTACTTCAAAACAGCATAGCGAAAAAATTACAATATGTGTTAATTTATGTCTTACTCGATGGTTTCTATGTGACATGGCCCATAAACGCCGCGCGACTGCCGCCTGACTGCCGCGCTCCGCCGCCGCGAACGTCGCGCGCGACCACGTTGTTGTCTGTCCGGTGGTGACTCACGGGGCTGCATGACGAATTTGTTTCACTTTATTCGTTGTGAAATACTTATTAGTATATTTATTAAGGGTGTTTTGGCTGTCTTCCTGTTAATTAGACTGTCTTGCTTGCGTTTGCTGTCTTTTTGCTCGTCTGGTTTCTGTATGCTCAAATTTATCACGATTATTTTGTGATTTCATTTCGGGAACCCTCTTTTTTCGCGAGGAAGTTGATTTGTAATCGTTTAACGGAACGTACTCCGAAAAATGTTCAGAATTCTTCCAATTTGTCCACCTTTCAGACCCGCTCCAACATCGCGGGTTGTTGGAACCTTGTCGAAGAAAATTAACCAAAAATGGCGTGGGTCAACCAGGGAATGCAAGCGCTTATCCCTGTTATCAATAGGGTACAGGTGAGTTCGTAATGCTTTGAGCACTTTTCTTCTGTTCTTCACAGCTGTCCAGCTAACATCAATTTTGAGCTAGGATCGATTTTTCGTTTCCTTTTCAGGACGCGTTTTCTCAACTAGGCACTACTGTTAGTTTTGAACTTCCTCAAATCGCTGTAGTGGGAGGACAAAGTGCGGGAAAATCGTCAGTGTTGGAAAATTTTGTCGGAAGGTAAGTGTGGCTTTATTTTGTTTGTGAAGTCTTCGTTCACTGAGATGAAATTTATGTACTCGTCCAGTATGTGATGAAATTTGGGGAACATGTGTTTATCAGCACTAGTCCAATATGCTGGACCATTTCATTGCAGTTCCGTAAGGTCCAGCAGGTTTAGGGAGCCTTGCAAGTTACATTTTCCTGCCGCTTCTTCGGTTGTTTCGTGTTAATGAGCATCTTGTGCTGGAAGGCTAGAGGCGAGGGACAGAGCCTTTGCTCAACTAGAGAAAAAGGGAAGCAAAGATGTTTGAAAAACGCTCGAAAATACGGATAGTTCGCTTTGCCCCTTCCTCAGGCCTTCGCTGTTCCGTCAAACCTCAGGCCTAATAAGGCGAAGAAGGAATAAGATTCTGAGAGGGTGAGCCATTTCTTTTGTGTACAGTAGAGTACACATAGTATCAGGTTGAGTAATAGCATCTTTCTTCGCCTTTTTCTTTTTTTGTAAAAAAACGTTTTCTTTTGTGCCGGCGTT